TATACCCCGGGGTATAAACTGGACTAGCCAGAATATACTGGGGGTATAAAACAGGCTAGCCCACTTTAACCCCGGGTATAGTCTGGGAAGGGGGTATATTTTGGGCTGTTACACTGGGTTCGATCCCCTGTCAGGGTGAATCTATGGGCACGTTTCTTTACGCCATTTGCCTCTGTCTACACAGCAGTAATTGGGAACCTGGGTGTTAATCGATTTGCGGATCGTATTCCGGGGTAATGGTTAGCCAGTGCAGTTGGCGAGTTGTCCGGTCTTCTCGGACTATTCCTTGATACTGGGTCATGCAGCTCGTTAACTAAGGGTGTGGTTGTTTTATTGGCTACAGCCTCTACACCTTAAACAAATTCACGCCTCGGTGACCCTTGGGTCGGCCATCCTCGTTACACGAGGGGGCAACCAGTATGTGTGCATACATTTGTATTGCTTACATATGTGTATTATGTGCGCGTTGTTGTATATGTGTGTTTATATGTTAAGTGAAAACACATGTATTTTTTCGCTAATTCACCATCAGCTCACTAGCACTTATGAGTCATAGTGATGGGGTGTTTAAGCGAATTTCTTCACTAATTCTATTCACTCACATTTCCATATTTTCTCATTTATCGATTTTCTTTCTTATTATTATTCCTTTTAGTGTTACTTTATTCCCCTCCCTCTTTGTATGTTACCTCAGTAATTATAATTAATACGAGTTAATGAAGGAGAGATTTGGCATGAAAGGGATGGACATTAGGGTGAAGAACAGCGCAATAAGAGAGTAAAATATAGGGAGATGGACAGATAGACAGACAGACAGACAGACAGACAGTTGTATCGTGAGATATGGCGAGAGAGAGAGAGAGAGAGAGAGAGAGAGAGAGAGAGAGAGAGAGAGAGAGAGAGAGAGTAGTCAACAAGATTCATACATCAATATTATCAGTGAGTGTTTTCAGGTCACTTAACGTACAATAAAACATGAATCAGTTGGTTACTTAAGGTATTAGTCAGGTAATACCATTATCCTTGGTGAACTCGCAGAATATTAATACAGTCAGCCAACCACGAGGCACCGGTTAGGAGGAAGGGACACAGCACTGACAGGTGTGAGGGAGGGAGAGTAAGGTGTGTGTGTGTGACGGGAGGGAGCACTGTCAGGGATAGAGTGATGGAGAGAGGCGGAGCATATGAGGACTATTGATGTGTGCGTGGGTTAAGGATCACTTACCAAGAGAGAGAGAGAGAGAGAGAGAGAGAGAGAGAGAGAGAGAGAGATCACTGCCTGGAAGAAAGGGAGAGTGAGCGTAATGTCAACTGAGGAGTGGTGGTGGGTGTCGGAGGAACACGGGTGGGGGGTGTACGAGCCTGTGAATGTGAGTTTGAAGTGGATGAAATTGAAAGTAAGCTGGATTCGTGTGCTTCGGCTTTGGTTTGGGACAGGGGAACGAGGGTTTCCTCTTAGCGTGGTAGTGAGTGTAAATGGGTCCAGGATAGATGTAGGTTCCTGTTCAGGAATTGGTGTGTGTGTGTGTGTGTGTGTGTGTCCTTACAACGGGGGAGGTGGGCGTGGGTTTGGGTTTTACTAACCATGGCTGGGCTTTGCTGGAAATAGAAAACCGTGGAGGGCCGCAAATGGAGAAAAATTGAAGTCAGTAACTTCGTTTTGGTGGTGGAGGCTATGGGGTGTAAACAAAGACTTAGGAGTGTTTGGGTATAATACTCTGTCTCTGTTTGTTTTGGTTTTTGTATATCCCACTTTATCCTGTGGTAAATATTGTAATAAAAATAAACGAGCGGAACTTATCCTTTAAATGTATTATGCAGATGACTCTGTCCTTGTAATTGTAAATCAGAAGACTAAAGTCAAACCACCGAAATTAAAAACACCGGAAGTCGTTTGTGAGTTAAACAACGAGTGTGCCCGCCTGAACTACCAGTCTTCAGAATGTGACGCCATTCAAGGACCATGGCAGCTTCCACTCGATCACGTCCAGCATGGATGACATAAACCAGAGCCACCTGAAACATACCGCAGCATCTTCTGGTCGTCTGTGGAATAGAGTATTTCAAAACAACAACCTGACCCTTAAGACGATGGTGACCGTATAGCAGCCTATGTGTATATGGCTGTGAAGCTTGGACGAAATACGGACGCCACAAGTCCCTGGAGGAATTCCAGGAGTTCATCTTAAGCATTATCTGGAAAGGCCGTATCCTACATACAGAAATATCAGGAAGGGCTAACTGTTTTAGTATATAAGCAACTCTCCTTGAATATCAGTTTCCCTAGCTGGGATAATGTCATCCAAACGACCGAAGAAGGACTTCCTCGTAGGATCTCCAATGGACAGTTATATGAAGGCCGTACAACAGCAGCAGGTCCAAACACCACACAGAAAAATTCTGAAGAAGTGCACCAAAGACTCCGCTAGGTTTGATGGCCCTGACATTGATCGTTCAGTGTAGTGACCATCTTGCCACCACTCATGCCGCCGCCACTCACGTTGCCACCGCTCATGTTGCCACCACTCATGCCGCCACCACTCATGTTGCCACCGCTCATGTTGCACCCACTCATGCCACCACCACTCATGTTGCCACCGCTCATGTTGCCACCGCTACTGCCGCCACCGCTCATGTTGCCACCGCTGCTGCCGCCACCACTCATGCCACCACCATTCATGCTGCAAACGCTCATGTTGCACCCACTCATGCCACCACCATTCATGTTGCCACCGCTCATGTTGCAACCGCTCATATTACTACAGCTCATGCTACCACCATCCATGTTGCCACCACTAATGTTGACACCACTCATGCCGCCACCCCTCATGCTGCTACCGCTCATGTTGCACCCACATATGCTATCACCACCCATGTGGCCGCCACTAATGTTGTCACCACTCATGTTGCAACCGCTCATATTGCTACAGCTCATGCTACCACCACCCATGTGGCCACCACTAATGTTGTCACCACTCATGTTGCAACCGCTCATATTGCTACAGCTCATGCTACCACCACCCATGTGGCCACCACAAATGTTGTCACCACTCATGTTGCTACCAAGAAATCCAAGTCTCTGAGGCTGAGTACACTCGTCAATGACAAGTAAACCTTGAGAGCAGACATGCGCGCGGAGCTGACACCTCCTTCAGATCCGACCTTCTACCGTCCAGGTTGTAACAATCGATGTCGATGTAACACAGATTGTCACCTGCCCAGGAAGGTCCACGGATGGCGCGACTCACTGCTCGGGCAATGGAGGAGATCTCGGAGTATGAAAGTAAATGGAAAATAAAAACAAACAAAACGAAATTCGAGGTCATACCCATAGCCAAATTCAAGCCGGCGCCATTGATGATCGACGACGAAGAGATCGAGTACTCTAAAAAAAACAGATTGCTCGGCCTCATCATCTCTCGGACGAGCTTCACGTCCCACGTTCAGGACAGACTAAATAAAGCCAAAGTCGCTGCCGCCAAATTAAAACGTTTTAAACTGATGCCCGAGAAGATACGAGTCCACCTGTACAAGGCGCTGGTGAGGCCTGTGTTGGAGTACCCACATATACCACTCGTCACGCTCGGGAAGACTAGACTACAACAACTACAGAGCTTCCAAAACAAGTGTCTGAGGTCAGCCAGTGGCCAAGCGCCACCCTACCAGGAGACAGTGGAAACCATCCACTTGAGAAATAAATCGGAGGCTCTCAACGCCAGGTTCTGTCTCCTTGGCAAGAAGGTTTGGGACAAGCTCCCGGACGACCCTCACAGCCCAGACCACCTACGCAGGGAAGACATCAACGGAGGGCGACCCCAAGGCCGGTGGCCACGGAGTCTGTCCGCACTAGATCAACCCAACCCGCGACCCATCTATGTCCGCCACAACGATCCTTCTTAGATTATAACCTAAATGATATTAGATCACATTTTACAAGTCACAATCTAGTGAGTCCATAACGTAATACAGTAATAAGATTTTAATCAACATGTAATTGTAAAATCAAACTAGTCATTGTCTACCACAGTAACCACTGGGCAACCTCACCCTAAATCCTAGGTTAGCTTAGTTAGCCAACAAACTCTGTAATAGGTAAAACAAGGGGTGTCGTCCCCCTCTGTTAAACTCATTAAACTTCTTTTCCAACCTTTCACCCCACGACTATCTGTCCTGACTTCTCTCTCCTTCATGTCTGGCTGTGCCGTGTTCCCCATCCTTTCTCCACCTTAACCTAGAAAAAAAAATCGCTGTGTGTGTGTCGAGAACTTAAGTCTTCAGCTACCACAGAACGCCGCAATAAAAGCATCAGGCACGATGGACAACCAGAAGAAAAAAAATGCAAGAGAATTAGTGTGCTTGCCTCCCTGTCTGAATTCGTTTGAATGTAAAAGCCAATTGTCTCTACGAAAGCCAATGAAACAAAAAAATAGTGGTAGCTGTGCACGTCAACAAATTAGTGTACCCAAAATCTCCACACTGGCGATGCACTATATTGCATTACATGCTGTATATGAAGCAGAATTATAACTCTTATTCTATATTTTTATATTTTCAATGCGTATCAAAACGTGTTTATTGAATTCTTGTCCGTCACCCACTCGTTTGGTAACACACGTAAAATCTAAAAAAAAAAAAAAAGGTTTGCATTAGAAAATAATCACATAAGAGTAAAATCAATTTATGATATTTTATGTATTTGACACCACAATTAATCACAACGTATCTATAGAGGAAAAACAGGATATTTCATCATATAGTTTGTACGTTAGAATATTTGACACAATTATTACAATTTCTGGATCTTTTCATGTTCACTTGACCGTGAATAATGAGAGGTTGGTGCTGCGGTGTCGAGTCTAATCATCACTGTTACAGAATTTTCCACTCTGCTGCCCCAACTATACAGAGAGACATAAGGAATAATAACCTTTCCTCAGGAAGCTTGCAATATGCATTCCTTTGACGGATCACAATTCTTACCATTACATAAATAAAATAAGTATGCAAAAGTACACACACACACACACACACACAGACACACACAATAGTAATAATAATAATAATAATAATAATAATAATAATAATAATAATAATAATAATAATAATAATAATAATAATAATAATAATAATAATAATAATAATAATAATAATAATAATAATAATAATAATTAACGCTTTGTTAGGAAAAAATATAAAAACGAAGAGGTAAAAATACGCATTGAACATAAATGACCTTACGGAGTGGATCATTTAACTAAAGTTTTCAATATGATAAAGAAGGAAACATGAGGTGAAGATACAAATTAACTTGGGTCTCATAGTTTACTCAGAGGTTGTAAAGGGACTGCTCTTAGCCCTGATGCAGCTGTGGTGTCGGACAGTAATAATAATAATAATAATTAACGGTTTATTGAAAGAGCTTGGCAGCCAGAAGGCTGAAAATATACAGTTACATATTTGGGGAATGGGTTACGAATTACAAATAATATACAAGTAACATAAGTGACACAAATAAGACATATAATAACTAGATGGGGAAAAGCTCAAACTACAGTTCATTTCAACATAGTGACAGTGTAAGGAGCAGTGTTTACTGGGAGTGAATACACTGATTTATTACAAGTTATTGATAATTTTACAATGGTTGGGACTGGGCTGTTCTTATAGCGATCAGTTCGTGCACGTATGGGCTGGATGCGGTTGTGGTGTCGAACAGCAATTCTCGGACAAGGGATCTCAGGTGGTAGTAGGAGCCGGTGTCGGGGATGGTGTAGAAGCTTCTTACCAAATTTGCAGATGAGGTCGTGGTGATGGTCAGTGAGAGTCGAAAGGGTCAGTGTGCTGAGCGCTTCTTGATATGTGGAGTAGGAAGGGGAGAGAATAATCTTGCATGCCCTCTTTTGCACTTTTTCTAGGTGTTTACGTTGTGTGGCATTTAGGGAGGAAGACCAGGTGGGGGAGGCATAGGTGAGCTTGGGAAGTATGAATGTTGTGTAAACACTGAGGAGCTCGTGTGCAGGAACTCCGAGGGACTTGAGTCGGCGGAGGAGGTGGAGACGGAAACTGGAGGATTTGACAACTTCACTGACGTGTGGTTTCCAATTTAGTTTGTTGTCTATGGTGACGCCGAGGAGCTTCGTGGAATCTACAACCTGGAGTGTGTTCGGACCTAGAGTAATGGAAGGAGGTGGGACAATGTCGGAGGAGAGGTTGATGTGCATAACCATGGTCTTGGTATGGTTGATGGTGACATGGTTGTTGGTGGCCCAGTTTTGGAGACTGTTCAATAAATCCTGAAGGGCGGTATAGTTGGGAGCAGAATTGTTGACGCTGATCCCAATGGTGGATCGTCGACATGTAAGCTGCACGTGTGTGTGTGTGTGTGTGTGTGTGTGTGTGTGTGTGTGTGTGTGTGTGTGTGTGTGTGTGTGTGTGTGTGTGTGTGTGTGTGTGTGTGCGTGTGTGTGTGTGTTATAGCCAAATAAGTACTCAAACTCCTCCTTGAAATCCTCCACCTCCTACTCTCTCACATCCATTATGATTTCACCCCAGCTATTCTAGCACAGACTATAGCTTGACCTCTTGATTTAAAACTTAACTTTTTCACTCTCGATAACTTTGGCGAACCAAGTTTTGTTGTTCTTGAAATAACTAAGTCTTTTGTTTAGGTCTTCTTGCATCAGATTCTCTTCCCCAAACTTCCCTCATTTAGTCTCTCTGATTCTGTAAGTCCCTGGATCAGTCCTCCTTCCTCCCCAACTGACCCACTCCACTCTAAAGTACACAGTTTGGGTTCATTCTATATTATAACTATTTTTTCTGTCTATACTGGAAATAGTTCTTGTGTCTTACTATATATTTACCCCATAATAATGTTCTCACCATTTCTTCCAACATCACACACACACACATTACTGTTCCGAAGAAGCTATGTGTATGTCTGTCATCATTACTTTTATATACAGTGTATGTGTGTGTGTGGGGAGTTGTTCAGTGAGCACAAAACCTTAACGATGTGAGGAAATAAATAATAAGATGTAAAACAACTCTACAGAACAAAAGGAAATATATAAGAGACCAGATAGGACCATCCACATATACTACAGGAGAGCTGTGGCTCTCAACTGGCTCAGCCATGTTAATATTGTCATTAAATATTGTTATTATTATCGACTCTGTATCTGTGTTTTTCTGGCTAAATAAACTGTTTCAATCAATCAAACTTGTTCATATCCTCAACATACATATTAGGTATACAAAGTAAAGTTTAGCAGATTTACAATATTTCATATCACTTAACTATGTGTATTAAGTTATTCATTGTACTGTTATAGCGAATGAAACAATTCCACTCTTCATTGCTTACAATCATTTTCTGAACGTTAACTTCACATGTGTTGATTTCAAGTCCCAATTTGTTCATCTTTTCCTCTAACTCTCTTACCTTCAGCTGCGTTGTCATAGATCTCTTTTACCAATCCCTCACCTGCCATGCACACACACACTATCTTGGTGCACTCTCATCCATTAGCCTCTCCACACACCGTTTTATCTCGCATACATTTCTTACGTCTTCATTCCTTACTCTGTCACAACTCCGAACTTACATTATGCATCTTAAATTATCCACCTTTACTGCTGTCTCTCTTGATTGATCATTACTCTGAACCACCTGCAAGTCCTCCTTCATTGAATCGCCTCATTCGATCATTCTACGTTGTGAATTTAAAAAAAATAAATAAATTCACGTTCTCAGGGCCCAACCTTTGTCCTCTATGTCAAATATTTTCAGGCTGTCGTTATCAATTCTCTTAAACTTTCTTTCTCTCCAGGGACACAGTTTCTATCTTCATCCACCCATCGCAGTTTCTGCCTACCCTTAACCTTCTTCCACTCATTTTTTTTTTACCCTTTCATATCTCTAATATTGTCCCATTATCGTCTATTTATTTGGTCAATGTTTCATTTTCTCTTTCTACACTTAACCAGTATTTCGGTCATTGTTCCTCACATATTTTCGTATGTCATTTTTCTTTTTTTTTATCAATATAATTC